CCTTGTAAATTTTTCAGGGCCCTCTCAAGTTAACAACATCCTTCCTTTAGAAGGACGACCAGAATTGTACACAGATTGTCATTACCTGGCACTTGTGCAGTGCAAATGTTATTAGCCACTCATTAGCCCAACCCTGGATGTTGTCCAGTCTTGCTGCATGTATACAGTCAGGCTGTTTCAGTATTTGAGGAAATAACAAATGTGAAATAAGAACAAGAGTAAGCTTTTGAGACCCTTGAGCCTGTTCTGCCATTCAGTAGGATCATGGCTAGCCTGACATTTCTCACGCCCACTTTCTTGCCCTTTTCCTATAACACTACTGATCAAGAAACTATCTATCGCAGCCTTCAATATACTCAAGGTCTCTGCCCCACAGCTTTCCGTGGCAAGGAGTTCCAAAGACTCTCAGCCCTCAGAAGAAATTCTTCCTCATCTTAGTCTTAAATTGATACCCCCTTATTCTGATCCTAGACTCTCCCGTGAGCAGAAACATTCTCTCAGTATTTACTTACATGTTTCAATGAAATCAACTCTCATTCTTCTAAACTCCAGTGAGTAGAGTCTCAACCTGTTTAATCTGTGCTCATCAGAATATCACTCCATACCTGGGATCATCCTAGTTAACCTTCTCTGAACTGCCTCCAATAAAATGCAGAGATATTTTTCTTTAAAAAGGGGGACCAAAACTGCTCATAGTCCTCCAGATGTGGTCTCACCAGCACCTTGTACAGTTATGGTAAAATATCCCTATACTTACTCTCCGGCCCATTGAATTAACAGTCAACATTCCATTCACCTTCCTGATTACCTGCTGTACCTGAGTGCTAGCTTGGAGATCACAAGTACCCCCAAATCCTTTTATATTGCAACTTTCTGCCATTATTTTCCATTTAAATTACATTTTATTCTTTTGCTCTCTCTTCCAAAGTGAACAACTTTACATTTCCCCACTTGATATTCCATTTGCCAACATTTTGCTCACTTACTTAATCTATCAATATCTGTCTGCAATCTGTTTATATCCCTCTTGCAACCCGCCTTTCCACCTATTTTTGTGTCGTCTCCAAGTTTTGCTAGGGTACATTCACTTTCTTCTTCCAAATCATTAATATATATTGTAAACAGTTGTGATCCCAGCACTGATCCCTGTGGAATGCCACTGGTCACAGGTCATCAGCCTGAAAAAGAAACACTTATCCCCACTTGCTGTTTCCTGCCCATCAGCCAATTCTCTAGCTATGCTAGCATTCTACATCCTACACCATGAGCTCGTCTTATGGCTTAGTCTTTTGTGAGGAAACTTGTCAAACACCTTCTGGAAATCAAAATGCAACATATCTACTAGTTCCCCTCTATTCGCTCTGGTTGAGATTTCCTCAAAAAATTCTAATAAATTAGTCAGGCGCAATTTCCATTTCATGAAGCCATGCTGACTCTGCAGTGTTAGATTATGAGTTTCCAAGTGCTCTGCTATTGCTTCCTTAATAATTGATTCCAAAACTTTTCCAACAATGGACTTAAGGTTAATTATCAAATATTTATCTGTTTTTTGCCTTTGTCCCTTATTGAATAGGAGTGTCACTTTAGCAGTTTTCCAAACCTCTGGTACTTCTCCAGAATCCAAGGACTTTTGCAAAATTACAATGAATACATCCACTATCTCTGTAGCCACCTCTTTTAGGATCCTAGGTTGCAAGCCATCAGGGACAGGGTAGATGCAAATGGTGCTGAACATTATACACTCATCAGTGAACATCCCCACTTCTGACCTTATGATGGAAGGAATGTCTTTGACAAAGCAGCTGAAACTGAAGAAGGACACAACCCTGAGGTACTCCTGTAGTGGTGTCCTGGGCTGGAGATCATTGATCTCCAGTGACCGTGACCATTTTCCTTTGTGCTAGGTATGATTACAATAAGTCAAATACTGTCTTGACATGGGTGGCACAGTGGCTCAGTGGTTAGCACTGCTGCCTCACAGCACCAGGGATCTGGGTTCGATTCCAGCCTCTGGTGACTGTGTGGAGTTTGCACATTCTCCCCTTGTCTGCGTGGGTTTCCTCCAGGTGCTCTGGTTTCCTCCCACAGTACAAAGATGTGCAGGCTAGGTGGATTGGCTATGCAATATTGCCCCGTCGTGTCTAGGATCTGGGTGGGATGTTCTTCGGAGGGTCTTTGTGGACTCGATGGGCTAAATGGCCTGCTTCCACACTATAGGGATTCTAAAGACATTAAGGTAGTCACTGTTAACTCACCTCTGACATTCTGCCTATTATGAGCAAATTATTACTGAGCGAGTTGGTTAACTCAAGGGCTGGATGGCTGTTTTGTGATGCCAACAACATGGGTTCAGTTCCCACACCAGCTGAAGCTACTGTGAAGGACTCTTCTTCTCAACCTCCTATCACCTGAGGTGCAGGCTAAACCATCATCTCGCTAATGACAGAGCAGCCCTATGGTCTGGCAGGACTACAGCAACTTTAACTTTTAACTAGTTATCTCTCTTCCTCAATCTTCATTTCCTTCTCCATCCCTTTATCTCTTTCCTCTCTGTTCCCTTTTCATTTATTCTCTTTCTGTACTTGTTTTTCCTCTTATTGTATCTTCCCCTTTCATGTGCCTCTCTCCATTATCAATCATTACTTTCTTAATATTTTCACCTCATGTCTTTATTTTGCAATGTCATCGAGTAGACTATTGATTGGCATTTACTGGTTTGATCAATTTACATAATCTTTCAAAGACATTTAATAATCATAGAGGAAGCTATTTAAAAATTATGGAATACAGGACATGGAGACAATTTTTTTTGACAATCAGCTTAAATGAAGATTTCAGTGAAAAATCTCATGAAATATTTCTTACTTCTGCCTTGAAATACTTGCACCGGGATAATCATCCCTCTATTTATGTTTAACACACTTCTCTTAAAGAATAACTACATCATTATGGAAATGAGAAAATTAAAACTAGTGTTAGATCTCCATTAAAATGACCTCAAAACCATCTGTTTTGTAATGCATGACATCAACATCAAGTGATTCAATCTCACGTTTTGCTCTCGTTCCCAGAGGCGAAGCTCTAGGGCTCTGCTTCACATCTGCCTCTGACTGAAGGATTGTTGGACAAGATGGTTGTTCTTTTTATGAGGGAGAGATAACACTGGGTGCATCTGTTCTTCTTGTCACAGTCCTTAGGTTATCTAGATTTTCAGTGTTTACATAAGGTTACAGTATTGGATACATGAATTGAAAGGAATTAAAGGAGTGGAAGCATTCTATCCTTAATAGTTAAATACTTGCAGAGCACAAAGGTGAATATATTGGATCAATGAAACTTGAACTCTGACATGCTTGCAATGTTAGTTATCAACATTGTCATTCAGTTCAAAACAAGTCATTAAGTATTAATTCATTATTAATTGTATAGTAATTTAATTATAAGATGATTTCTAATTAAAACTGAATCCCTCCTGGCAAAGATTTTTGAAGTTTGTAAGAACAGATGTCTTTGGATGTTCTTGCGAGTAGAAATTCAATTAGTGACCAGTTGTCTTCTGATTTCAACAATCTGAAATCAGTTTCCTAATGTTATTTCTTTTCCTTTCTGCATTTAGGCCTCATCAGTACGAACTACACATCAGTTTGAAATGATGGCGAACTCAACAGAACGAAATGACTCTCTCAGCAACCTAACAGACTTCTTTGATACTGAAAGAGGGAGCGCTTACAAAACAGTCGAAGTGGTTTTCATTGTAATTGTGGCTGGATCTTTAAGCTTGGTGACCATTATTGGAAATATTCTAGTCATGGTTTCTATCAAAGTAAACAGACATTTACAAACTATTAACAACTATTTTATTTTCAGTTTAGCCTGTGCTGATTTGATTATTGGTGTATTCTCTATGAACCTATACACCATTTACATTGTAATTGGCTACTGGCCTATGGGCCCAGTAGTGTGTGATTTATGGCTTGCTCTAGATTATGTTGTCAGTAATGCCTCTGTCATGAATCTCCTTATCATCAGCTTTGACCGATACTTCTGTGTGACAAAGCCCCTTAGTTACCCCGTGAAGAGAACAACTAAGATGGCAGGTATGATGATCACAGCTGCTTGGGTGCTGTCATTTATCCTGTGGGCTCCTGCTATTCTCTTCTGGCAGTTCATCGTAGGGGGACGAACAGTTAGTGAGGGTGAATGTTATGTACAGTTCTTCTCAAATCCAGCTGTCACTTTTGGCACTGCTATAGCTGCCTTTTATCTTCCTGTTATTATAATGACAATTTTGTATGTGCATATATCTCGTGCCAGCAAGAGTCGAATTAAGAAGGATAAGAAGGATACAGAATCAAACAAGGGAACCGTTTCTCCCAGTCTGGTGAAAGGCAAAATATTGAAACCAAATAATAACAACATATCAAATGCTCCTGATGAGTTGCCACATTGCAAAGTGCAAAATGGTAAAATAACTGGTGACACAACTGATAATTGTGGCCCAGGAGAGGAGAAGGAGCTCTCCAACGAGTCAACTTCACTCAGTGTGGTCCCATCAAACCAGAAGGAGGAAGTGATGGTCCAAGAAGGCAGAAACATCTCTACGACCCAGAGCCGTTTCAGGATGGACAGCTCCAAACTCTCTTGCATAAAGATAGTCAGCAATTCTCAAAAAAGTGACTACTGTGGCACCACAGTAGAAATAGTGCCAGGTAGCAGCAGCAAGAATGGGAATGACAGAGAGATCAGAACAGCCCATAAGATCATTAAAATGACCAAAACCCCTGCTAAGAAGAAGAAGGTGGCTGTAACCCGAGAGAAAAAGGTGACTAGAACCATCCTGGCTATTCTCTTGGCATTTATCATCACCTGGACCCCATACAATGTCATGGTACTCATTAACACCTTCTGTTCAATCTGTGTCCCCAACACAGTCTGGACTATTGGATACTGGCTCTGTTACATCAACAGTACGATCAACCCGGCCTGCTATGCATTGTGTAATACTACCTTCAAGAAAACTTTCAAACATCTTCTCTTGTGTCAGTACAAGAACATAGGTGCAACTAGATAAAACAGCTACAAGCACAACTTCATGAACATTTTACACATATTGAGGATAGTGACTTTCATATTATACATCCAGAAAAATGTATGTATTGTGTTAATTGTGTCAGATTATGATCAAGTGGACTCCTATATATAATATTGAAAGCACATTTGAATTATATCTAATGAAAGTATAATGTCTGTTATAAATCAAGAGTGTGCTGATTATTAGAATGTATTTATGAGCAAACTAAAAGATAAATTGGCCCAAATGTATCACAAAATATGTCATCAACATATTCAGTGACAAGTTCTCACTTTTGCAACATTACTCAACATAAAAGGTATTAAAGCTTTATATTAGTGTAATATAACTTTCTTAGTTTCTTCAAATCATACATTGGAAGCACTGTGCGCATTTTATGTCTCCTCTGTTGCCATCTTTGAAAAAAATCTGTTAGAGTCGTTTAGATATTAACTCATTCATTATTTTGAAAAATACATTTGAAGATAGAAAATAATTTCCATTTTAAACAGTAGATGGTTCTCTTGACTTTCTAATCAGTGATGGTCAGCTGGCCTAGGCTGGTGTCAATGCATTAAAATAATTCCTCAAATGATTTTGATCTTTATCAGCATTTAACTCCTCCCTCAAGTTATTAAGAATATAATTGCTTTGAGTTCAGTGTTCACTGAACAACAATAACCCACTGCCTTTACGTAACTTGACCTCAATTTGAATCCACAGAATCTATAGAATCTTGACAACACTGTTGGTGGCGCAGAGGCTAAAGTCTATAGAAAAGTATTTAATTAGGTAAAAGCTGTTGCAATGTCCTAAGCGCATGTTTGTGAATTGTTATTGTATTTCTCCAAAAATCAAGCAAGTTCTGAGTTTCAATGTGCTTAGCTGAGGTAGTCAGTGGGGAACAGAAACCTTTTCCTTCAGACATTAGGGTCACTCGTTGGTCATAGGGCAAGAGATGTTCCTGCTATAAAGTAAGGTGTAATTTATCAAAGCAGTTATATAGCACTTGAAAAGTTGGAAACCTTTGTGGAGGAGTTTTTTGGGTCAAAATGCCAGGACATGATCATAAAAAAAATTATCAATTGAAATGCACTTTCAGAACTCAAAGTTGAAGGTACATATGGATACATTTTGGTCATTTTGAGGGCTGTTGGCTTTAGTATCTGTCATGCTACTGATAAGAAAATGATATGCATTATGGGTCATGTTTGGTGCAAGTAAAATATTTGACTTATAACCCTCCAAAGAAATGACTATGATTAACAAATTTGTTGTCAGAAATAGGAGAGCAGAATGAACTGCTCTGCAGTGAGCTGTGACCACTCTCCCACAATCTCTCAATTTCGGTATAAATTTCAATGAAAGCAAAGTAGTGAAGTTACCAGAAATCCAAAATGGAAACAGAAAGCACTAGAAATACTCAGCAGGTCAGGGATCTGTTAAAAGTGAAGCAGAGTTACTGGGTAGAATGTTCTTACCAGAGATGGGCTTGAGGGTGAGAAGGATGGGGAAGCCCTGGTTAGGATCCTGTTTAACCCCTCTGACAGCTCTAACCCTACTTCCAGGTATTCTCTGAGCAGGATTGAAGGTGAGTAAGGAATCCCCTAGGATCTGTAAGATCATTATTAAAAGGCTTTTGAGATAGTTAAAGATCTGGTAAGATTTCTTTTGACCATGAATCCTGAATTTCCTCACCATGGATCCTGTTTCCTGCCTTGTTGGCAACTTGCCTGGGTCATCAAAGTGAGTGCACTGTGGGAAGAGTTTCGTGAGTGAAATTGATAAATTGGAACAACATTGATCAGTAGACCGAGTGTGAATGTAAGTTCAGGTGGGATAGCTATTAGAGAGAGGAATGACCAGGTTAATGCTCTGGCAACAGGGATACAAATCACCTAATGGCAGCTGGTAGAACTCAAACTTTACTAATAAAAGAAAAACTGGAATTGAAAGCTAGTCTTAGCTTTGGTGACCATGAAACTATTGTTGATTACCTTAAAAATCCATCTGGTTCAAGAAGGAATGAAACTCCCACGCTTACCCAAATTGGTCTACATGGGTCTCTGGAGCAATTGTTATGTGATTGACTCTTAATTGGCCAAGTAGGATAAAAAGCAGTTTAAGAAGGGCAACAAATGCTGGCCTTGTGTGTGACATCTAAATCCCATAGAAGAACAATGAAAGAGTGCCATTGCCTCTTTTCAAGAAATCAAACCATATCTTGTGTGGCACTTACCGCACTTAATTTGCCAACAACAGGCCTTCCCCCAAGATCAATGGTTCTTCCTGCATTGGAAAAAATGCTGACCAATCAGAAGCTGGCAGCTTTTCTGTACACAACAGTGCCATTATCCAGGTGGCTGTTGATGATACTACATTTACCCAAGGCCTTTGATTGAGAAGAGGTCCAGTCATAGGTTTGTGTTAGTGGGGAGAGGATGGGGACAGGGGACATGGTTTGGAAGCTGGTTAGCAGCAAGAACAGTGGGTTGGCTTCCCATTGGACACCGCCCTTCGGATGCTGAGTTCCTCAATCAGACATTGAGTGCCTTTGAATGAGGGAACTCTTGGGGGCCTGCAAGCAACACAGCACAGAATTGTTTGCCAAGGTCCCCACCTTGTGAGCCATGTGCCTGCTGCTAGGTTAATATCCCACTTAAGTGCCATAATTGACAACAGTGTGAGAACACCATTCACAGGCTTTTTCACCTCAGACTTATGTTGGTGGAAAAAAACAAAAGATTTGCAGATCCCAGAAATCAGAAACAAAAACTGAAATTGCTGCAAAATCTCAGCAGGGCTAGTAGCATCTGTGGAGAGAAATCAGACTTAATGTTTCAGGTCCAGTAACCCTTCTTCAGAACTGGTGGTAGCTAGGAAAAAGTTGTTTTTTATGGAGAAGGCAGGTTGGGAGGAGGCGGTAAGGAGTAAACAATAACAAAAACAAAGTTGCTGAAGAAGCTCAGCAGGTCTGGCAGCATCTGTGAAGAAAAAAACAGTTAACATGTCAGGTCCAGTGACTCTTCCTCAGAACCCCGGACATTTGGAGGGACAAAGGAGTAGATAACGGTCAGTCTAGGAGAATGAATGGCTGCTAATGGGGACTATTAATGGCTAAAAATGGGTAGTGAGTAATAGAAGACCATGTGATAACAAGCAGAAAATGAGGTGCTGTTCTTCCAGCTTTGCTGGAGCACTTCTGGCCAGGGAACAAAGTGGTGTGTTGAATTGGCAGGCAACTGGAAGCTCAGGGTCTTTTTTGCGGACAGAAGGAAGGTGCTCTATGAAGCGGTCATCCCAGTCTACGCTTCCTTTCCCCAGTGTTGAGGAGACCACATTGTGAGCTGCAAATGCAATAGAATAGATTGAGTGAAGTGCAGGCAAAGCGTTAAAGCGTTGCTTCACCTGGAAGGTTTGATTGGCTCCTTGGATACTGAGGAGAGAGTTTTCATTTTCTGCTTAGGAACTCTACATGGGCTCAAAATCGAGTTCAACAATTTTAGGGCTTGTCCTTACCCCAGCCCCCAAAACACCAGGCTTTATTATCACATGGTCTGCTACTACACACTACCCATTGTTAGCCACTAATAGTCCCCATTAGCAGCTATTCATTCTCCTAGGGTGATCATTCTCCACTTCTTTGTCTGTCCAATTATTCTTCCCTCTCTTTGATCTCCAACTATCGTTCATTCCTTACCCCCTCCACCCACCCTATCTTCTGCATAATAAACATTTTCCTATAGTTCTGAAGAAAAGTCCCTGGACCTAAAACATTAACTCTGATTTTTCTGTACAGATGATGACAGACCTGCTGAGATTCTCCAGCAATTTTTGTTTTTGTTTGTTATTCTTGTTGGACGTTGACAAACCTTTCATCTGATTATCAATCTCTGCACCCAGACTCATCACAGAGGAGGACACAAGTTTCCACCCAATGTGTTTAAGAAAAATGGTTATTGTATGTTTAGTAAATGGATTATAAAATATGGACTTCATTAGCAAAAAGGTGTAAGTCATTTGTTTTTTTTAATTACTTTTAAAACTAAAGAACCGTTTTGTGTTTCCAGATATTGTGTTTTACCTATATTGAACCATCCTCTGTTAAAATGTGCAGGAGATTTTTAGTATTAAGAAATTTTCATAAAACATCATGTCTATTTGATAACTAATCAAAATATCCAGTTTAAAACAAAAAGCCAAGGAAAAACACTTTAGAAGCTTCTGAAGTATCTGTGATTTCAAAATGTACTAAATATGGGTAATATGATGCTTAATACAAATGATCAACACACTCTTTCTGTAACTATGCTGTACTTTGCTTATCGATACTTCTATGAATATTACACACGTTAGAATGAAAGATCGCCTTGCAGAGTGATCATTTTATAAAAAATTTACCACAATAGAAATTTGTATTTCTAGCAGAGTATAGCAAATGAATCATGAATGATATCTTAAGATAGAAATACTATGGGACAATAGGGCTAATGTAAAGTCTTGCTCCACACGTTCCATGTTATTAAATTCTTTTAGACGTCTACCATTTGTATCTGAATAACATGAAACCAGTGTTGTCTCATGCTACAGCCATCTTATTTTTAACACAGTCATTTTTTTGAACATATTCCACAGATTTATAATGACCATTGATTTTGTGTTCATTAACATCCTTAATTTGTATGTACTAAAGTTGTTATAATGTCTCAATTCAATGAAGTTTCCATTCTCTCAAATACTTGAACAAGCAGAAATGACTGCTTTGCATTGTAATCCATGAATGAAACAAGATTGTGCATTTGATTAATGAAAAGTGCACAGCATTTGAGCATGCTGATATTTAGATGACATTCCTTTGTCCTTAAGTACATCATTTATTTTTATTTAGAGATCAATATTTGCACGAACTGTTGTGTTTTTAGAAACGGCTGGACCGTCAAGGCATGGTCCAGGCTGGTAGACACTAATGTGCCAACTTTCTAAATACTGGTAAACAGTAC